ACGTTTATCATGGCGATTAGATGTCAAATTGCTCCTGTGGCCTTCCAAATGTTGACTACGGATTTGTTATTTTGACCACGATGGCACTGTGCGTCTAGAACGTTCCAGAATACTCGTGAAAAGCGCGCCCCTACCCCGAAATTTTCCATCTTCATGGCATTTTTTTCGCTTCCGAGGTTCTAGTCTTCTTCTAAGTCACGTCACTGCATAGAGCAGAGTTCTGTTTTGGCATTTGAGAATAATGTCGTGGGAACCCTCAAAACTTGAAAAATGTGAACAGTATGGTAGCCTTGTGGAGACTAGTTTTTGCTGCGCAAGTGCAGATCGTGCACTGCTTCCAAAGATAACCGTCGTTATACTTGTAAACGGCAGGCAAGGTATGGAAGCAGTCGGTTGGGTGGGGAAAAAATATATGGGCGGAAAGCATTTGGCCAAATACTTTTAAGCGCTCTTTGTCCCTGAGAGTCCACTTTATCCCTGAGATGGCGAAGGCGTCGCGGCACGGAATGGGTCAAGGGGCAAATGTATGGGCAGGAAGTGGTGTAGTAATAAGTGGCGCGCTTACCGGTCGTCTGGTTTCAAATAATAGGTCGACTTCGGATCAGGCCAACCAAGCCTTCTAGACTCCGGGTATTGCAATGGTACCAGATTCGCTGGGAGGATAATAACACATATATGGGTTAACATTTCGGGTGACTATCTCTAGATGCTCTCGGACATAGCAATCTATTAAAAATGCACCCTTGCCGTTAGAAAGTAGATACGAGATCTCTCTTTTTTTCTTTTTGGGTGAAAGGTAGAATTGGTCTCTTTCGAAGCGTAGTCAATGAAACTTCAAGTGATTCCGAGAAACTCATTGTGAATCTCTTGAGAATCATTCTCTGCAATTTTTGTGACCTTCCCTAAAGGTAGCCTAAATTCTGCACAAATTTTACATTAAAATTCAGCATTTATGTCCCATCTTGAAGCAGTGCATTAGCGGCCCCTCAGTTGTGCCCGTCTTTAATAAGCTTTTGCCCTTTCTTGTGTAGAACAACAGTCTAGCTGCACGACCACTCCGAAAACAGGCGTTCAATCCCCTGCTGGATGATCTTGAGGGCTCAATGAATCCACCCTTTCTTTTTGAAGTCGCACAAGTCTTTCCGATGCTTCTTTGCCTTCACTCTTACATTATTTGAGCGGAAAATTCCTAAAAACAACTAGTTGATGTTCATCATATTGCGTTGAGTGCCTTTCAAAGTCATCGGACGACTCATTCACTTATATGAAACTTTTATAGACGCTTGTGCTCGGCCAGCAATGAGAAATGAATACATTCGTTGCTAAGTCTTACTCATCATGCGGTTTGTCCTTCATAAACGAAGAATCATTTTCTGAAGATCGATGCCAGTCTGTAGAAGGAAGCCTCGACCCTTCTTCGCCCAGTCCTCACGTTGAACACGTGGGACTATTCTCTCCACGCAGAAACTGCCTCAATGTTCAAGGAATGGCTACCGTTCACCGACAAGACCTTGCTGTCGTCACAAGCAACTGCGCAGACGGGCCCGAAACTGATTGCTGTTCTCGAAAAGAGCACTCATCCCCCATCGAATCTACACCGAAGAGTATTCTGCGGCCAAATCGCTTGGTGGCGACACCTAAACAGCTCTCGTTCGACATACCTCCGTCGCCAGTTCCATCTCCGAAGTCAAGCTGCGTTTCCACGTCAGGATCCTATCATCTGTTCGAACGACCGATGAGAGCTGTGCGCGTGCGCAAGGAACCTGCTCGTTACCGACTGGCAACTCTCCAACAACGATCAAATTCCGAGTCTTTATTCACAATTTCATCACCTGTTGATCAGAGCAGGCGTTTAAGCGTCGCCCACTTGCCTTACAGAGATAAGGCATTGCTCAGGAAAATCCTCGGACCTCGAGGTTTGAGTTGGATTGGCAACGATAAAGGTGTGATATATTGAAACCAAAACCCCAGAAAAAACAAATAAGTTTTTGCAGGTGATGTTGCTTCAAAGAAGTCTGTTTCCATAGCGTTTTCTAATGATCTGGAAGCGCAAAAAGTTGGCGATGATTCTGAAATCCCTCTCATGGATGGTAAAGAAGAACTTATAAGGTGAGTCACAGTTTCATTAAAAATGCACTTCCACTTCGTATTAAAAAAATGATACCTCGTGCATAAAAAACGCACATTCACGTTTCGATCTATTGTGCTCGCGGAAGGATGGCTAGAGCATTCCAGCGGATGGCACATTTTGCGGTTGCACCTCGTGGATGATGGAAACATCACATTTCAATAGGAAGGAGAAGATAAAAACATCCTTTTCAATAGGAAGGAGAAGGTGAAAACAGTAAAATTGTCGAAAACGCCCTACATAGGCTCCTGCTTCCTGTCGATTTCAAGCATTGTGCGCCTATGCGATGTAGAGTGACTGCGCGTACGAGCACACGGCACGATTTTACATGCACAGGAGTGGCGCGGGTCTGCATGGACACTGTTTAACAATAAGTTGTAAACTTGCAACTCACTCGTTGTACATCACCATAGGGCAGCGAAGAAGATCTCCCTGGTGACGAATCCAGATTACCTTCTTGCGGAAGGAATAGTTTTCTCCGCTAGTGGTGAAGTTTTATAGTTGTCGCTGTTCAACGATCAATGCGAAAAAAATCGTAGCGATTGCAGGGTGAAAATGGGATTTTTTGAAGCGGTTGGAAACCAAGCAACATCAAGAAGTGTGCTTAACAGAGGCAGGGACATAGTAATGGCATTAATGCTAATACTTCTGAACGGGTACTGCTTTCAAGAAAACCCTGTAGTGTGCGAGAGTAGCGAGAGTACCCCTGTTAGCAATTATCAGGAAGGGCCCTAGGGAAGTCTCAAATCAGCATGGACGTCGACTATGGGTGAAAACAGCTGAGCCTTGTTGACTGGGGTGGCCACCTGTCAGATACCAGTTCCAATGAATGTACGGAGCGGCTTGCTGCGCTGTTGTAAGGCGTAGGGGCGCTTGTGAGGCGCTATAAGGGCGCTACTCGTTAAAAAGGACGACACGCAGCGCTAGCTTAGGGGCATAGTATTCCTTTTGAGTAAGCTCAGTTACTCTAAACAGTTTATCGATTTATCATACCCCCTAACCTTTAAGTGATAAGTTCACGTGGTTCTTTTGTGAGCACTTGGCCTCACGAAGGAGAACCCTCGACCTAGGTTAATCCGCCAACACGTTGACGACATTATGAGCCACCGGTGGCTCATAATCTTTTGCACCTTTTTTGGCTTATTGCCTCAGTTCCTATCGATCTTTTTTGTATTCTAATGACTTCTGAAAGGTAAACTTCCAAAAAGGACGAGTGGGGAAAACGTCGCGTTTTCACAACGTTTTTCCCGTTTATCCTTCTGGAAATTGGAACTTGATAATTGAAAATTTTCAACTAGTTATTGCTACGCCAGGAACCTCTAAAATATTTCTTTTTCGATGAAATCTGTGGGGAGCTAGCAGGTCTGATCACGGAAATAGGCGCCATTTTGACGCTATTTTCGTGACCAGGCTCGCGAGCACCCTTTTTGGGGCATCGAATCCGATATAAACTTCTGCACCTGGGTTTTGACCTTCTTATTGAGGTGACATTATTCCTTTGAAGTTGAAGACGCCCTTATTTTTTGGTACAGAATTCGATCTATCTATGCTCGGGTCATTTGACATCCTCATTACAACATGTCCTTCCTTTCTGGTGCTGGCATGTGGCGCCAGTGGGCGCCAACTTGGCGCCACAAGTCTTCAGCGAAAATCGATGTAAACGTGCACATTGTGAGTGTTTGACATTCTGACGAGATACATAGCGTTCAGCTCCACAGCTTGTAAAGCACTTTGGTTGTTTCTGCTCAGCTAATGCTGAGCGTAGGAAAAGAAATCGCACCCTCGTGTGCTCGGCCTTAGCAGAACTCTAAATAGCGTTCATACTAGCGAAAAAAGTGTGTCGGTGGCTATCTATGATTTGTTTTAAAAAGTCAAAGCGCAAAATGCGAAAAAAAGAAACAGAAGCGGAAGTCATAGAATGAAGTTGAAAAATCACCATCACGCTAAAAAGTGGGCATGATCGAGGAAGCCGGAGCTTGAGATGGTGTCCGGTGTGGTCAGGGATGGTAGCAGTCCCTGCAAAACTGCTTAATCATTCTGCGAAGTATGACAGAGCGGCAAAAAAGTGGTCCATGGGGGACAATCTGAACCACTGGTGGCTCATAGCGGACGCATGCAAAAAACTCCATTATTCCACTTTTCCCGAACACGATTTCCGTCAACGTGTTAATCATGTGAGAACTACGGTTTAGTCGGGAACACGGAAACGTTTCTCAAAGCATCACACGATCGACTTTCGATTGATCTTGGCATTGGAGACGTAATAATTCAGTATATTTCCTTAGCCTACCGAGATTGGTATAGATGATTTTTAGTGCTTAGTTTTCAGCGAACATCGCCTTCCTCGGAGCCTGTAATTCAAAATATATCATCAAAATAAGTCACCCAGTCACCATTTCACACTGCAGTAAGAAAACATGAGCCAGAAGATCCCAGAACTTAGTTGTTAAGTTCAACCTCCAACGGATAAAACCACCAGGCACCCTAATTCTCAAGACTGCACGATAGGCTTTTTACGTTTTGAAGTAGTTTATACATGTTTTGAAACTCCGAGGTAACGCGTCAGAGGGTCTGAGGGGAACGTACAAAGCAAGGACCAGTCTGAAATGCAGAGGTCGGTCATATGTACCAATCTCGGGAGGCTAAGTAAATAGATATAATTCCCACGTTCCTCAAAGATCATTAATAATCAGCTATTTTTCAACTCCTTTTTCGGAATTTTAAAGCACGACATAAACACGCGCATATCCCTCTGTTACACGGTGGCAGTGTTCAACTTCTCAACCATTTTCCTCGTTTTAACGACTAATAGTTCTTGTTCAGTGGTGGGCGACTGATAAAACGTGAAATTTTGCATGAGAGGCGGCGGCATATGAGTGACCGAGCGCTGTTCTTTGCTATTGTCGGAATAGGTTCGTTTCAACTCTTTTCATTCATTGCAAAATAAAAAATGCTGGAGAAACATTAAAACTACTTTTAGTGTTAATGATCATCGAGAATGAGCTGAGTGCGGCTGGCGTCGTTTCTGCGGTGTGTTTCTCTTATCGCAAGCATATCAATATTTCTTGAGTTGGTTTCTCAATATTATGAACCAGCCGACTCGCTGGCTGAGGCTGGCGCGCCTCCTTGTAAGACGGCCTGGCTTCGCCGAGCGGGCGCGGATCGCCGCTCGTACTTTTTCAAGCCCGGCAAAGCTGAGCCATATTAAAGAAGGAGGCGTCTCCGTGTCAGTCGACGAACTGGCTGTTACCAACTGCAGCTACGTCGACCGGCGGTTAGAGTAGTGATTGCCCATGCACTAAAACTTGGTAGAAGTAGGTACCTCGTGCTTCAGGGACCCTACATCACCTATTGGCAGTTCTTCTTCCCACAGGCACACTCAACCCTCACCATAGTTTTCTGTTCTCCAGCGATTTTCCGGTCTCCAAAGCCGCTCAGGTCCGAATCATGAAATATCGCAGCAAGCGCTGCCCACATCGAGTTTGGTAGAAGGTATGAGAAACCGAATTTTCGGACAGACAACTAAGCAACCACAGACTTAGTAACTTTTATATAGTGGGTGATAATGCGAGGATGTGTGTTATGGTGTAAAGGTACGTCGTATGTTGGGAATCTTGAGGGAGGGGGTACCTGAGAAGGATCGGGTCTTGCCTGAAACCTCCCCAACGGCAGGACGTGCCGCGAGTATACCCATCTACACAGCTACACTCCACATCAGAGATGGTAAGTCCGTAGCTGCGAACTCCTTTCGAACGTGGCAGCTGCTGCGCTTCTGGAGTGATATTGCAGCTTGAGAACAGCTGCAACTATTAGGCTGTTGCATAAGTTCTCTTCCCCGACTTTTTTGTAAATATCTCAATAGCGAACGCCTGAAGATTAGGGGTATGCACCATCACCGACACGAACTCTGAGGCAGCTTGTCGATTCCATAGTCCCAGAAGGACGGAGGCTGGGACCCGAAGAAGGCCACAATGCCGCACAATCACCACTGTGACATGGTTTTGCAGTGGCAATTGTGCGGCATTGTAGTCTGCAAATGCAGGGTGGGTGAGTGATAGCTAGTGTGGTGAAAGAGTATCATGTACAGTCACGCACACGTGATGACGAAATACCAACCTCTATACAAAAGAAATACGGAAGGATGAAGACAGGGGGGAAAACTCATGCAACAACCTAATATAGCGTTGTTGTGCACAAGGTAGGATAACACTTGTAGCAAATGGAAATATCCCGCAACTAGTACAAACGACGCCATGTTCGAGTTAACGCAGCCACTCGCTGGGGTGTGTGACGTACGTACATCCTACTCCACGTGGAATAAGATATCCTCTCGTTTGCTGCCGATGGTTGGGCGTGTCAGGCAGTATGAGTGTGTCACACCATCAAAGAAGTTCTCCGCCTCCTTGTGAGAGCGCGCATGCGGCAAAAAGTGGTAGAAAACGAGTAATACGAACGATATAATACAGTATCTCAACTGCTCGCTTTAACAACTGCTGGACGACGGGTCTGGCACCGCGCCAAACTCATTCACGCGCGTGACACGCCCAACAGTCCGTAGCGAACTACATTATACAGCGAAGGTTTTAACTATTCCAACAACTTTGTTCCCAGACCGATCACATGCGATTTGAAACATAGTTGATTTTAATGGTGAAGGAGATGAGCGTTCAAAATGTAACTTTGGAAAGATGAGGCCTAAGTTTGTACTTAGGCCTAGGCCAAGGGCTGAGCCTAAGCCTTGGCTTGAGACCGGTACTTCAAAGGTTTCAAGTATAGAAACAGGAGGAACCCTACTATAAGGTTGGCCCATGAGCAGTTGCATTTGCTTCCCACTGGAAATTTTGCGCTAAAGATGAGAAGCTGAACCTCATACAGCTTGCAGAGTGTTCCTTGCTCTGACATGCCCTTTGCACACTCATACTGCTTTCATTTGCGATTATTTCTCGCGTGAAGGTTAAATAATAAGGGTTAAAGGTTAATAAGGTTAAATAATAATAGAAGTTAGAACTTAGTTTAAGTGCATCAGTGGATCTAGAATGCGACGAATGACTTCAAACGCTTGGTAATTCAGGGAGAAGTTGATCCACAAAATGTGAACTGCAACCAATACATAAATTTGCAGAACTGGAGTGAGAGCGTGATTTGCTGTCAGTTCACGCGACGTTCGTGTGTTAAACTACTTCGAAGCCATGCTGGGAGGCATCGTTCCTTCTATATATCATCACATGTTTTGAGCTTCTTCTGCAGTTCGAGAGCCTAGATTAAGTACACAAACTATCTTTCAAAAACTCACATTTGTGTCGACCCGTACTTCGTCTCAATAAATCGAAAATCGACAAAAAAAAACAGTAAGAACACGATCTTTAATGTCTTGTAAAGCAGAAAATTACATAGAAGAACCTGGGGCACATTGGACAAGATCCTCTTTTTTCATATGGAAATTAGTTCAAGAAGAAACGCCCTTAATTGTGAGCCAACCGCATAGTCATCTAGTGAGTAAAGTACCATCACGTTGTGGAATTCTGCTATCCAGGAAAGGATGTTTGGTCGAAGTGGCCGTTCAAGATGAGATGTATACCATCTGATGCGCTTTTGGTAGCTGATTTCAAATCTACATTCCATATCTGCTAAACGATTCACTGAGCAGAGTTGTGCAGGTTTTTGACCTGGTCACCCCTATTTTCATCATGTATGTAAGGCATAAGAAATCCCCAAATTCGCACATATTCCAAACAGAGGTTGCCTAGGACATCAAAAAGTGACACTACACTCATTTCTCGTGAGAATATCGTATTCGCATTCCGCAAATAGACGTGTTCCCTGTCTATTTGCGACTCCTGAAACCGCGGGACTCCTGAAATTTCGGCTGCGAGCTCATTTTAAAAGTGGCAAGATCTCTAAATCCGCTAAAAACTTGTACATAGGGGAAATTCAACATCCTGATCACGAACGTGACATTCATTTTTGGCGCTGGCGCTAATGGATGACACTACGGTTACCTGCGCTCTGCTAAGGCTGAGCCCACGAGGTGATCGTAGTGTCCTCTCTTGGCGCCAATTCCGAGAATGAGTGTCATACTCGTAATCAGGATGTTGAATTACCCCTATATACAAGTTTTTAGTGGATATGGTGACGTAGGTAATTTGAAAATGAGCTCACAGCCGAAATTTCTGGAGTCCAAACGGCATTAGCCGAGCGACTGTGACCTAGAGAGGACGAATTTGTAGAGAAGCCCGTAACGCACGACGCAAGCGTTTTTACGCTGAATGAGTGTGATGTTCGTGTTTTGGGGATCAAATTAAAATTAGGGTTAGGTCTCCCGGCTACGTAAGAAGGGCTCTAAAAACTGTATGGAACATTTTCAAAAAAATGCAAAACAACATTTTAACCAAGGATTCGAACCATTGACAGCACAAACATGAGACGATGCGTACCCACTAGGTCATTGCACACGTTTGCTGCTCAGTCACACCACGTTTATATACTGACTGAGCATTGACCGAGTTGAACCCTACAGTCCTTGTGGTCAGCCACACAAACCTCCAAACCTTTGTTCGGAGAATCGTTTAGCAGATTTGAAAAGCAGATTCGAAATCACTATCCAAAGACGCGTCGGTCGGTATACATCTCATTTCAAACCAGTCGGATCACCAGGCTGCCGCAGGGTGCTCCTCCTTCTTTGTCACCGGCAGCGCTTTGTTACTTCCGAAATTCTAATGACATCAAAAGAAAGAAACACACTGCGCCTATAACACTTGACAGTGAACCGGTAAAAAAGGTAAGAAATGTGACGAAGATTGATTTTCATCAAATTTAATCAATTGGTATGATTATTTACCACATGTCGTCCATTTACAAAAACTTTGGAATGTATTTCGAAAGCTCTAATACCTTGAACCACGATGACCGCAAGGCCTCCTATCAGTTGTTATGGCTTTTTGTCACCCACCGTTCCTGACCCCATTTCACCCCCTATATCACCTGCTGGAACCAACGCTGACTCTGCGACCCACGGTATGGAAGCAGTGGCCTTATCTTTCTGGCGCCCCCTATCCAATCTTATCAGTTGCGGGTAGTTTTGTCACCAACCTAGTGTCCCCTTCCTAAACCCTACATCGTACATATCTTGGAACCAACCTCCTACTGTTGCTGTGACCCGCGTGATGGATGACTATACCCTTTCAACATCCCTCGAATCTTATCAGCAGCTCACAATTTTTTTCGTCCACCAATAATGTTCCTTTCCTCCTTTCCCATACCCTACATCATATGTTGGAATTAACACCTGGCTGATGCAGTGATCCGCATTACGAATATGGTGAGAGTCAACTTCTGAGGCCTCTTGATTATCAACTGATATCACTTCTATCACCCACAAATAGTTTCCACACCCTCTAAGTCACTTCTTGGAACCAATATCCCGCTGCTACTGGGACCGGCGCTATGAATTTCGTGTCAAAGAGACAGACGCACGCGCACGGACATAGCCGATTATATATGGTAGGATTGTAACCGTTGTCAAAGTGTAATGCTGAAATCTATCCTTTTGTCCATTCTTTTATTGGAGTTAGTAGCTAAAATCTCCGTAACCCTCACACGAAAATTCAGCAATTAGAGTAGCCTCTGAAGCATCCTACCGCTTGATGCGTTCTCCACCACTGTACGTTTCTTTTTCTGGAATGCACTCCCGCATTCGGGCAGTTTAACGCTTCGAATGGTCCTCTCTCAGGTCGTTGATGAAAGATAGTCATAGTGATGAAGCCATTTGCTGCTGTTCATGGCAACTGAGCGATGAAGCCAGATGCTGCTGTTCATGGCCTAGCAAACAACCGCCATGCTTCTGAAATCCTGTTGCTTTAGCGGCCGTGCATGATGTTGATAGCGATGGGAGCATAGGAGTGTTGTGTACGAACTACTGAGAGCCTGATACCTGTCATATCAGTCGCATTGTGTCAGTAAGCGGTGTTGCGGATTCCTGCATGATGATGCTTTCAACCCTCATCAGTTGCTGTCACTTAGTGTCACCTGTCAGTGGGTTTCCGCCCATTCTCCCTATACCACTTCTTTGAACCGAGTTCCCACAGTCCCTGCAACTTGCCCTACAAAGTTGGTAACCCTCCGCATTTAGGGCCCCTTATCGAATCTTATCAGATGTTATCAGCTTCTATCACACACCAATCATGTCCATCTCCCTTACAATACCACACCTTGATATCAAGGTCCCACGGTCGCTAAGAAGTTGGCGACACCCGGGTCTAGGGTCCCTTATCGGATCTTGTCAGATGTTATCACCTCCTGTCAGCCACCACCCTACCGTGTATATCACTTCTTGGAATCGCGGTCCCGCAGCTGCTGCAACCCTCTCCTTCTAAGGCACCTTATCGAATCTTATCAAGTGTTATTACCTCCTGTCACCCACCGAAAGGGTTCCCCTGCCTTGCATATCACTAATTGGAATCAAGCTACCACGGTCGCTGCAACCTACGCAACTAATCTGGTGTCCCTCAGCGTCTATGGCCCCTTATCGAATCTTATCTAATGTTATCACCTTCTGTCACCCACCAAAAGTGTGCCCGTCCTACCGTGTATATCACTTCTTAGAGCTGTCATCCTATCTTTTCTGCGACGCTCGCTATGCATTTTGTGACAGACAGATCAGACACACACGCAGACACACGGACATAGCCGATTATATATAGTAGGATGGCCACTTCTACCTACCATCCTCTCCTGGTAAGCTCGCCCCTTTCCAGACAGGGTCTCGAAAGACCCCTCCCTAGAATGGAATCTAAGAGCATAGTTTGATTCAAATTTGCACGTATCCAGCATTGCACACGAATCCCGTCCAAAACGCTTACTGCTGTTTCATTAGAGCACGCTATTTCGCGATATGTTCCAGAGTAGGCAAAATTTAGAAGCACCTTCTTCGAATATCCACAACTGTTTTCCAGCGGATAATTATGACGTGGGAGGGCAGGGTTGTGAAGCGCCAGGTTCGATATTGTTTGACTGTATTTAGGTCATTTTAAAGACACGGTCCATGATCAGGTATACCAGTTGAGTACATGGCGTCAGAAAGGTATTGTGGTCCGCGACGAACAACCTGCTATGGTTTCGCGGCAAAAAAACTGTAAGGGAGGGGCGCAATATAGGTTCAGTGACGCCTCCCTTTTTCCAGTGGCTCCGCCCTCAAAATCCATCCTTCAGCTAAAAACGAAGCTGCAGGACGGAAAAGCACGAAAATCGTCACTTGTACGGTCGTGGAGTTTTTATGGGAGGATCAGTTGCGCGGGGATCGTAGTATTGGAGGTGAAGTTAATTGTACACGTTTAAGCTAGGATAATAGGGATCTATCTGGGTCAGTTGACAAGTCTTTTCTGTTTTTTCCTCACTATTGAGTCACTCAGAACCTTGTTTATTTACTTATTCAAATACACCAGGAGGTGCGCCGCATAGTTAAGAATAACAAACTCATTGCACAGGAACACAGTCAAAAGGAAAGAAAACAGGTAAAGCTTTGAATATAAAAGAATAAAGATAACAAAGTGACCGAAATTCGGGTAGCGTGACGTGGTAGGGATTGGGAATGAGGTATGAAACTTTCTTTGTGCGAGGTGGATAACGTTCTTTTCCCCATTCAGCAGATGAAAAAGTCCCCTCACGGTCCTCGGTTCTGAACGCAAATATACAAGACGGCATTCTACTGGGGTTTGTTGACAACTTAACCCGTTACGAACGAATTCGTCCGGGACCCCATTCGAACGAACAAGGGGAACTCAAGCGAGGGGAGTTCATTACCCTTCAAGCTCATCAAACAACTAACCAGCACAACTCAAGATCGCCCACGGATACTTATGTTCAAATTATCAACAACATCTCTAAGCATATACTTCAAAACAGTCGAAACTATTTCATATAGAGGATGTGAACCAAGAGAAGATGAACAACAGGAAGATCAGACCAAGAATAAATTCAACCCCTCTCAGAAAACAGAAGATGTGATAATATCAAGATAGTGGAAAAATGCGCCCGAGAGTCCACTGCCTGACACCAGATATTTGGTGATGAGATGTGCAGTGATGATGTGCAGTGCCTAACAGATACGGATTGGAGTGAAAATAAAAAGAGTGAGACGTAGCTTACGTTTGAATGTCTTACTATCAGGCGACTGGAGTATCTGGGCCGGCAAAAGCTCAAACCACCTTGCACATCGGTAGAAGACATTGAAAGTTAACGAAGAGTTTTTGGAAATAATCGGGGCATAGTGGAGGTTGAACCCACCCAGCCTCTCACTTGTTGGCCTGAAAATCCAATACTTACTCGCTGATACCTTTACCTCTTTTCGAAGCACTCGAAATCAGAACACTAAATCAACCACGATCCTTCGATATTGCAAAGAATGTAGGGGAAAAACTCTCAGGCGGCTGCTATAAGTAGGGATGTCACTACGAGCTGTATAGGATGTGGATCGATACCAAAGAAAACGTGTAAACAAATATTGAACTCCTTCAATTTTAACTTGTAAACAAATGTTGAACTCTTTCAATTTTAACTATGTCTTTCTTGAGAGTAGGACAATACACTTGCGAGCTATACTCTAAGTGTGGCAAAACATACGCTTTATAAAGGCGCAGAAGTATGAACGGATCTGAATTATGAACATTCCTTATCACAAGAATGCTGAGTTATGGGCAAAAGTCGGACCACGGACGGGATTCCAACCCGCATCTTCTGCTTACCGGGCAGTTGCGTTCCCTATTACGCTGCCGAGGCCACCTTTCACAGGTCACAAATAGCCATTGAGCTGAGTGGTCAAAGGTGGCCTCGGTAGCGTAATAGGGATTGCAACTGCCCGGTAAGCAGAAGATGCGGGTTCGAATTCCGTTCGTGGTCCGACTTTTGCCCATAACTCAGCATTCTTGTGATAGCTTTCGTATCGCGTGCTGCGGCGTTAAACAGCAGTTATCAAACAATAACAGCTTGATTCCTTATTATCGTAAATAAGACGGAATACGATTTCTTCACCACATGATCGATGTGGTTGGAGAACTTCAAGCTTGATTCGAAAAGAACTCCTAGATCCTTCACAGAATCACATTTTGGGAGCATGACACCATTAACTATGTAATCAGGGGATGCGCCCTTCCCTATATGCATGACTAAGCACTTGTTCAGGTGGAATATCCCAAAGACTCGCCCATTCGCACATTCGCCTCACAGACTGTTTGAGCGCTTGCCGCATTTCTCGACTATTCTCGTTATCATACACCACATACAGTTTGATGTCATCAGCATAGATACGCATCTGGATGTCAGGAATAACTTTGAGAAATCGGGGAAGCTCTAGAGTGTACAGGAACAGCAGAGGGGATAGCACACCACCCTGTGGTACCCCACTGGTGCACGGAAACTTATTAGAGAAGCTAGTTCCCACCCTGACTGTCATGTTTCTGTCATGAAGGTATGACCTCAACCAAGCAAGTAGTTTGCTTTGAACGCCGTGCCTCTCTAGTTTACTGAGCAGTTTGGAGTGAGAGACTTTATCAAAAACCTTTGACAAATCCAGATAAATGATATCCACCGATTTACCATGGTTAAGAGCTCTGCACACGTCGAAAAAAGTATAAGTAAGGTTTGTACAAGTTGAAGCTCCGGGTAGGAACCCGTGTTGCTCACTGGGAATAAGTTTAAGTTTAGAGAACCATTATAGGGACTTGTCGCGGATCATCTTTTCCATTACTTTGACCGGTGTGGGGGTAATATTATAAGCCTAAAAGCATTCAAATGCCAAACTGTTTTGGCATTGGAATGCTTTGGAATGGCCGTTATACTAGCTTCCTTCCATATCTCAGGCACCTCACCGAACATGAACGAGATATTAAACATGTGGGCCAGAGGTTTACATAAGGAATAACAACAATTTTTGAATGCGATTTGAGGGTTGCCATCCATAGGTTCACTAATAGAAGGTTTCTTCAGCACAGTGTGAACATTGAAAGGATGAAAATAAATAACAGGAAAACCACGTATGGAGTCATACGACCACTTTGACTCATCCTCAGCACTATTGTGGACATCAGCAGTTAAAAAGACGAAGTATCTACCCAAAGCTCCAGCCTTTGCAAATTCGCTACAAAGCTTTCTTCCTGACTGATCCTCTAAAGCTAGAGAAGCGCACTTGGATTTCAACTTTGCCAATGTATGAGTAAAGGCGCTCAGTGAAGTTTGACGTCCAAGACGCTCTAAACTTGCGATAAATTTCTTTAAATGGCGGTCAACATCGGAACACACTTTTTTGTATAGCGAACTGCTCAACGGGAATTCTAGGTCGCAGAATAGACGCTCTTTCTGAGTCAACAAATTTGAAATATGCGGAGGGTGCCTATGAGGGCGAGGCTCTCGGACTTTCATAGGGACAAATAGTAACAACGCATGATATTATAAGTCTGCAAAACCTTTGGTACACATCGTTCATTGAGACGCATTGGTCGAACAAGATGAGCCAGTCAACGGTAGACAACTAACCGTCTAGACCTCTATAATCGACATTCAAGAAGTCGGGAAGAGGGACAGTGGAGTAACTGTCGAGGTCTCCGAGTACTTTGAAACGAACAATGGAGTGATCAGAGTTTGCCAGCGGAGACGAAATCGTGACCTCTCTTATGTTGTTAAATGTCGACAACACTAAATCAAGAATGTTCCTGCCATGGGTTGGTAGAGAAACATGCTGTTTGAGGCCACTGCCTCGGAAGAACTTCAGAAACAAGGATGACTCTGCATTATGTGCATTCAGGGCTTTCCAGTCAATTAAAAGCACCTAGCATTATGGTGTTAGTATGAGTTGCGACAGTGTCACGAAGGACATCAATAAGTTCCTCATCCACATTTTTGCTCACATTGGGTGGACGATACACGAGAATAAAGCGAATTCGTGAGGCATTGTGGGGACAAAGAAGGTCGACGCGGAGGACATCTGCTTTGTTGGGGGATGCACGGTCAACCGAATGAACATGGAGATTGACTCTCACCAGACGGCAAACTCCACCACCACGGCGCTCCTTTCGGTCCAAACGGTGAAGAAAATACGGGAATTTTGTCACTATTTCTCCGTGATGAATAGGAGATCGGGCTCATGTTGACAGATGAAGACACGCAGATGCTTTAATTTGTTGGATAAACTGCGGGCATTCAATGGGTAGCAGGTGAGGTTGGGTTTACCGTGCGTCATAAACGGCTTCCCCAACTCCGAGGAGGAAGTTCCGACGTTCTTCTGTGTTGACCTTGGTAAACTACCCACTCACGAACGCTTTTACCCTTATTGCGTTCACGGGCTTCCTGGCAAGGTCGTGGTCTCGCTTCCTTTCTTCTTCAGTCATGCTTCTGCTAATGTAGACATTCGTGAGAGCCGAGTTCCAGAGGAAGCGCGCATTCGCAAGTGCGCGGCGCCAGTGGGATCGGGAAGGAAGCACCACCCTCACGAGGCAAGGCCGATCTGGGTGGTTTGCCCATACGATAGGTTTCGCATGGCCGGCACTCCACATCTAAGGCGTCGAGCGCTTTAGACACCTTGCGCTCAGGGTCCGACTGACGTGCTGAAGGAGGGAGTTCGCTTTGTGCTTCCCCAAGACCTGCAATAACTATGCTCGCGTTTATCACTCTCTAGGAAGTCTGAAAATTCCTTAGGGTCTTCTCCTAAAGAGCTATAAGCATGTTTACAATTGCAGGGTCCTGGTTGAGCTCAATGATGCTCTTTAATTACTCCATAGCCGACATGCTAGCAAGATTTGATGAGTCAGAACGAGTGGTCTGCGTGCTACTAACGCTACTGGAACCAAGAGCGAGCTGCGAAGAGCCATCAGAAGTTCTTTTCAAGCGTTGCACCTTAGGTGGCATTCTATTGACCTTTGATCTACACAAAGCAGTAAAATTCGAACTTTTAATTCAGACGGAAACGTAGTATGAAGCTGTTAAAATAGAGAACACCAAAACCAAAAAAAATGTAAAAAAAAAAGTTGAGTTCACGGATAGACGACCGCACCGGATGCACGCAGACCTGACGGACCAACAGCGCTCATGTCATGAATGATTGCTCTCCTTTATTACATTTTATTAATCGGGTGCACATACAGTGAACTCCAACACATCTCGCAAAATGAAACGCGTAAAAATCACGAGCGACCCAATTTTCGTGGTACAGAAGCTCGACGCACTTCACAACACTAAAAGCACGCTACTGCAACCCTAAATCCGGCGCTGGCTTTTTAAATGTTTTTTTCAAGAGTTTTCTCCCTGTTTTTGTTTTTTGTGTTTTTTTTGTTGGCATTCGATGATATACACTATTGTGAGATGTGATATGATTTGTGAGCCAGGGCTTGCGCAGAAACCACAAACAGGTGTGACTGTCAGGGCGCGATTTTGTTTATGGTGTTCTTGAGGACTCTTCTTGCTTTTTTTCTTTACTAAGGAATTAATTATCAGCTACTGTTTCATAACTGAACGTCAACTATCCATGCCATGTTTAAGGCGAGAGCTGTCTTTAATCATCTTTTTAGGAAATATCCCGTTGTTGAAAGTGCCACATACAAGTTTTCATGGTTCGGACAGTCATAACTTTCTTTGGTGAGACCTCTCATAGGAATGAAAAGCGGTATCGAATCTAGAATAGTTTGCCTACTCAAGAAGCACTCCCATTCTATTTATGCCCATGGAATATAAAATTCCCCCTTGTGTAATTGTTATGGATCGTTTCGGGCGAGACGAAAAACCCAGTTCTTTGGTGCAGCACCACCACTGATTGCACGAAATCTGATTATCATTACTCTGCCCACTTCTGAATCAGCGGTGCGCTTACGACACCCCTATCCTTCGAGGTAATACACGACCTACCTGTGATTTCCACAACGTGCTGGTTGTATCTGAAGAGCTTGGACCTTTGCGCTTATATGCGCTGGGCACAACTGCTCACTCTTTTCCGCTCGATGTGACTGTTTGCTGCAATCATTCTTCCTCCTGCGCTGGTTTGGAAATCATCTGAGCCTCATCGTCACGCCGCTCTGTCCTAGCAATAATGACTTTCTTGCAGAATGTATAACATACGAGTGTTTTGACTCTTTCAGGGTTCGCTTTCAAGTCTATGTCTCAAATCACTCATAATTGGGTCCACGATCGTACTTCTTGTATTTGTTGCCTATTTCCACATTATAGAAGTGCAGGTAAATTGTTTTTTCAATCGCATCGCTTAGCAAACCTGGGTCTGAGAGCTTATGTAGGCACATAGTTACGATCATCTTCATCCCGCTATATTCAGCTGTTTATGAATGCGAACGCGGCTGACGATTGGCGAGTGGCGCTCACTATGCGAAGGATGATTCAGATAGGTACGCACTCTGACTCCGCATGCTTTCAGGCAACCAATAAAGTTTATGGGGTTTTTTTTGTCTACTTTTATGAAGTATATTCAGTAAACTGGATCTAGTGGTAGGGTAACTTTGAATGTTAAGACATATGTCGAGTGTGATTCAGTGTATTTGTTAATTTAGATTACTTCCAATTAAGGCGAACAGAAAAGGTGTGGTTTTCCACCAGGACAACGCAATACAAAGAATCACTCAGGAAACAATAGCGCGACTAGGATGGGAAATTCCATACCACCCTCCTTACTCGCCAGACCTTGCTCCAAGTGACTATCATTTGTTTTTGGCCCTGGACAACCACATGAGGAATCGGCGATTTGAAAATGAAGTGGCTTTGGACAACGAACTAAAACATTTCTTTGATTCCCAAAAACAAGATTTTCACAAAAATGGAATATATGCTCTTGTTTCTAAATGGCAAAGTGTATTACTTGCTGAGAGTAATTATTTTTTGGAATAAATCTAAGTTTGACCCGTTTTTTATGTTGTTATTTCGCTACCTTCAAAACCGCACGAACTTTTCTGGTTGCATGATAGTATCGCATCTACCGCTGCTAATCAGTCACGCAAGCGAGTGGTCGTTGCTACTCACAGGCGCTTGCTTTCTTCACGCCTTTACAAACGATAATTTGCTTCTTATGCGTTAATAGTCATGGGAGAATTACATTAGAATCTTTTGTTAAAATGTCAATGAGAAATTAGTAAGGTTTGTTCCATTATCCAGTGGCTAGCCACTAAACTTTCAGGCTCTTGGAATTCTCGGTAGACCGTTCCGCATCTTAATTCGCCAAATAGGACATAGAGGTAGCGGACACGATAAATCGAATAGATATTTAGGATAACCATGCTTACTACAGAAAATATCGTGCTCCTGACCAGGTCTAACGTGGCGCCTTCTCCAACAAAGGACCCTTTCTAGGCGTCTGCGCATGGTTTAACATGCAGGTAGCCATTCGAAACGGAACCTGTGCGCTCCCAAATGAACGCACCGGTCACGCTTCTATTAGCTGTTTTCACCAACAACTCGCAGCTTGATGGCAATTTTTCAATTCTTGAGGGTTTCTTTCAAAAAGTTTACTTCTTTTGAAAATGAGATGATCTTTTTCCAGCACCTTTCTTTCTACTGGTGCCTTTAATTTTGAAACTTCTTTTTATTCATTTCTGGTTATTTTTGATTTGATTTGTTTTCCTTCAATTCTCGAGGGTTTCTTTCAAAAAGGTTACTTCTTATTGAAAACGAGGTTATCTTTTTCCAGCACCTTTCTTTCTAGTGATGCCTTTTCAAATTTCGAAACTTCTTTTTTTAATTTTTCGTTGTTTTTGATTTGATTTACCGGAAACTCCGACACGCTTTTCAGGATAATGTCATTTGGGTATACCGTTTTTTGTTCAGGTCATTTTTAATATTATCTTGAAGCTTGCAGCCTCTTGAAGTTTTGTTCCTTCATGCTTGCGTTACAGTCGCTGTGGTTATTCGCACTGATCATTGACCAAAGCTGATCAATCTCAGACGTATGTTCGTCCACTTCCTGATTAATCAGAGCCTTGTTTCGAGCCTTCGATCGATTCGTTTCATTTCTGCTTCAGTTTCAATTTATGCACAATTTATGTGGTACTACTAGCGCTTTCTTCAGAGAACGAAATTATCGTTCCTGCTGCCTATGAGGGCTAGAATTCAATATTTATTCAACGGAAGAAGGATGAGAAATCGATCTTTGTGACGTTATGCGTATGTAATCGCCAATCTTGGGCTGCGTTTATACTTTGCGGCAGCGTACGCCTGCGTTTCCAGCGTTCGGCAGCGGCAGTCACGGTTCAGCATCGTTGTGCGGAACCCATAGGGGGGGGTCGTACTTGTCCGCTGGGGAGAGGGGGTCGTAATCTCAAGGGTCAATCAGCATTGCTTTGACATTTCTGTTGCTAGTAGGAATTGAGCTATGGAAGCGATGATGTTAAAAAAATGAAAATTATTATGAGTGTGTTCTTTACGGATCTGACTGCTCCGTTTGACAGCCCTATTTTCATGGGAATTTCCCATAAAGGGGAACGTATTTGGCCGCGGGGGACGTGGAGAGTATCCCAAAAGTAGGCTCGCTAAGCATCAAACACTACAAAAGTGTCATTGCTAAGTTCGACGGAATGGACGGAAAGCTGCAGAGGACCCGGGTGTAAGGTGGGCTACAAAATAATAAAAAATTGATTAGCAATATAGCAAGAATTAGCCAAGAATAAATAAATAAAAATGAATCAATGGCATGAACTCGCAAGTCCGTAGATGACTAAATAATACGCCTCAAATAGATTCGTACGTATTGTCCTTTCCAAATCCTAAACAAACATCTGCTTGCATGGACAAATCACCTGAAATCAGTATTTACACCTTTTTACCACCTCTGCGTAGGAGCGTAATGCACGGCGCGCACTCGGACCAAATCGATCAGTGATAGCCGAGCTCCTCTTCCACTCATTTGAAGGGAAATATGTTTTCGAAATCACACTAAAGTTTCCGAAGGTGTATCCTGACAATGGCACATAGGGAGTCGAACTTTTGAGTAGCTCAGAGGGTAGCTTTTTGGTAACCGATCTAAAATATCTTTTGATCCAGCTCGTCTTCAGGAAAACTGTAAAGCTCGTTGGAAGGAGAAAAGATAGGGCGCTCTGAAGACGGTTTTGGTTCAGATGAAATTGTGTTCGAAATAAGTAATCCTCGTGTGAAATATCAAAACCTGCTAATAGCTTGCTTTACCCCTAGCTTATCCGAAACCCATCCGAAATATTTCAAGAACGGGGAATTATCCAGGTTGAAATTAGGTAGAAAACGCAACAGTAGGAACATTGCCGTTACATGCTGCTAACCCTTCCTCGAAAGCCGCGCACCAGAGAAATAGCCCCCCGAAAAGACCTCAGGACGTTGGCAGGTCCAACAACCACGCTGCGATGACGTTTTTCCAATGAAAGCGGTC